GTCAGCTATGGGTGGTTCAGACTCGATGGCACACAACAATAACAACAAAAGTTAGATCAGTGAGGAACTAGAAACAATATCTAATTGTTCTCAGTAAATTTCTCTTAGTCTATATTTTGTCACAAAGTTAATGATATTTCTATTTCCAATGGTGATAAAAGAGGAAGTTTAAGCTGCTGTGAAGGAACTGGCCAAAAACAAGGCTGCAGGAATTGATGGCATTCAAATTGACATATTTCAACAAACAGATTCAGCCAGGGATGTGCTCACCAGGTTGTGCCAAGAAATCTGGAGGATAATCACCTGGCCAACTGACTTGAAGAGATCCACATTTATTCCCATTCCAGAAAAAAGGTGGTCTGACATAGTGTGGAAATTATTGAATCATATTACTAGTACCATACACAAGGAAAATCTTTTTGAAAAGCTTCCAAAAATGATTGGACAGTACACTGATGAATAACTACCAGAAATAAAAGCTGAGTTTAGAAGAAGTCATGGTAGTAGGGATATCTTCACAAATATCAGATCATAACTGAAAGCAGATAGTACCAGAGGAATATCTATTTGTGTTCATTAACTATACAATGACATTTAACTGTTTGGATCACAACAAAAGGTGGCTAATTCTGAGAATAATGGGAATCCCAGAACACTTGATTATGCTTAGGTAAAACCTATATTTGGACCAGGAAGCAGTAGTCAGAACAAAGCTGGGAAAGACTGCATGGCTCAGGATCAGGAAAGGGGTGTGTCAAAGATACAGTCTGTCTCCATATCATTATATCATAAATGAGGAGAAGAGACACATGATGAGATATTTCTCTGAATTTATCTGTGCTTTTTGCACGCACAATATAAAATATACTTGCTATCACCTTCTATTCCACCATGCTATTTCAATTTTCTTTATATCATTTGTCTCTATATGATGTTATTTTTATTAACAGCATTAGTTATTTGTATTTTATCTTTATTAGCTTGCAAACTATGCAAAATATGTTGTAGTTGTATACTGTTGGGTCAGAACCAACTTACATCTGATATTTCAGCTGGTTTTCATAGGCTATAAATCACATGGGAGGAGATTGCTTACTTTTCCCCAAAGAACACCTGGTGGATTTGAACTGCCTACCTTTGGGCTGGCAGTGAAACTTCTTACTACTAGGCCACCAGATTTGCTCTATGACATATTTAATATTTTGTGTTCCCTAAAAGCTTTAAATATTTTGTTTATTTCTTAGTCTCTAGTACCTAGAGAATTGAAGATAATGTAGTAGGTAGATAATCAATACTTGTGGAAGGAGTCATTCATTTAACTGCCATATCTAAATGGGTTTGCAGGATAAATTGATGTCCAGCTGGCTGAGAGAATGCTGTAGCGAGAACTCTCTACCTTTGGCACATGACTTGGATGATGGTAAAAATGTCATGCCTAACAAAATGGCTAATGATAATACATAAAATTCCTAATCTTCATGACCTACAATGACAAATCAACCCTAATAACAAGAGACTGGGTACAGAAAATGTCCAAATCCCATCTTTTTGTTCTGCTAATTATATTAGGATACAATGGAATTTAATTAAAACATTTTTTACAGAAAGATAAATAAGGTAGTTAAAATGATTGCATGCTCAGTGTGATCCCACGCGTGAAATTACTCCTGCCTCAATCTCATGGATATTTTAATCTCTTCACAAAATAACCAAGGAGATAATCCCAATTATTGTTATCTTTATTGCATTGAGCATCAATTTCATGGAGATGATAATAATATTTAACTTCCTGTCTCCCACAAAATATAAAAAAATACTGGCAGAAGAAAGTGATGAGGGTAGTGGAATTCTTTAGTTAGAGAGCCATAAAGGAGTTAAAAAGTGTAATGTAGAGTTTATAATGCAGAAGAGAACTTGTAGCAAGTGCCATGATTTCAACTAGGGAGACATAAGACAAATGGAGAAATCTAGCATGGAGTGTATTTTGGCTCAATGCAAGGGAGATTTTTTGTACCAAATCTTACAATTAGACCTGAATGAGCTGCCTTGGGGTGTAGGCAAATGTTCACATGGTGACTGAACAGAAGAACATGTCTTGGATGAAGGGATGAACCAGATGGCCTCCAATCTAATTTTTTGCTCTAAAATTCTGTGTAGCATTATATTTTCATTAAAAAGAAATCTATCTGTAAAAACCACTCCAACTAGATTCTTTAGCCCAGGTGAAGGCAGGACGGCTAAGATTATAAATGATTGTTGTTGTTGTTGTTGATTGTTGTTGAGTCCAGCATGGTTCATAGTGACCCTAGGAACGAAAGACCTGAAGTTTTTCTATAACTATCATCATTTCTCAAGGTTCATAGAGTTTCCAGAGGCATGCTGTTTAGGATTGTGGATGCCACTCCTGCTTCCAAATATTAGGAATTCTGAAATGAGAGGAGGTAGTACATGATTGATACATGCACAATTATTATTGAGCTGGTGTGAATGTGTCTAAATTCCGATGTGACTTATGAGTTGGTTGACATTGGATAGATTTCAGCTTCTCTTCCCTGGCAAGAGATAGCATTTCCTTCTGAATCCATATCCAAATAGTTTGAAGATCAGAGGAGAGAAGGGTCCATGTAGAGAAGTAGGGCTTGCAGAGACTCAACAAATTCTCTTACAATCACTGCTTACATAGAAAATGGGAACCAGGCATATGCAGAGATTCACAGAAGGTCAAACTGCTTTGTCTATGGCAGACAAGAGATAAGAAGCAGGAGGTGACAGATAAAAGTGAATATCCAGAGTTTGAGGTTTGAGGGAAAAGCATGTAACTTCTGAAGTGCTTCTAGTGAGTATGTGTTTATGTGTGTGTATGTGCATGTGTGTTTGACTGAATTTGTGAGGGTGTGTGTGTGTGTATGTATATATATATATATATATATATGGAAAGGCAGAGGATCTGTGAAAGAGGAAAATATATGATGAGATGGATTGACACAGTGACTGCAGCAGTGGGCTGACGTGGATCAGAGATGATGAAGATGGCAGAGAATAGGACAAGGTTCAGATCTATTGTTCCTGTAGGGTTGCTATGAATTGTACTTGACAGCACCTAACAAAAGAAACATATGTCTATATTATCTATATCTATCTCTAGATATATGTATGAATGTAAGCATAGACAGACTATGAATGTATATACATAAACATAGAGAGCTCTGGTGGTTTAGTGATAAAAAGCTGTGGTGTAATACCAAAGGCATGCAGTTCAAATCCACCAGCTATTCCACAGAAGACATATAGGCAATCTCCTCCCATGTGAATAACTTCCTATGAAAACTTGCTGCAGTGTCAATTATGGGTCAGTTCCAACTCAATGGTACATAGTAACAACAACCACCACTTACATAAACACAAGTAAGTCAGTTAGTGACTATGTATATGTGTGTAAATTTGAGTACATGTGCCTATATTCTATGTACATATTTGTGTAAGTATGTGTAAGTGCTTTAGTGTATTGTGTCCTGGAATTATCTAAGTGGTGTTCTATGACACTTAGTGTTACCAGACCTCAAGTCACTCATTTGTCTTGATTATTCTAACCTAATAAATAGGTCCTCTGCTGTGTTGGTTTGCGTGAACTGTGCTGCTAATTCAAAGATCACATCTCTCTGATGGCAGCACCTCTGAGAGAGAAAGAGCAGCAATCTCCTCTCATGCAATTTACAGTCTTGGAAATCCAATGGAGGGTCAGCTAAGAGTCAGTTCCAACCTCTTGGCTATGAGATTGAAGAACATAATAAACAGGAAACAAAACAAAACAAAACACCTGCAAACATTAAAAGGGACAATGTTCTTGCTTTAGATAGATATTGACTTCCCTCTTAAGAAAGAATCTGGCACTGCCATTTCAACTTCTTCCTAAGGAAATCAAAAGGGCCAGCCTCTTAGTTTACCCATACTAGCACAATGAAGGTTACTCCAAAACTTCCTTAATCCTTTTGGTTTTATTTTAGTTTCTTATATTGTTTTATTCTAGAGACCCCTCTGGTCTGCTTTCTAGGTCACTAATGAACCCCGGAGCTCTGAGTTGACTTCCTGTTGGTTCAGGACCCCCTAGTGTAGCTTCCTGAGACATAGACTTCTGAAGTGATGGAAACCTTGAACTTAGGTTAGCAGCTTGGAACCCAGGGTATTATCTAAACTGAGGTCTTGATTGTGCATAAGATACTGATTTCTACGACTTGGTCATACTCACTTCCCTCCCCACAAACACCACAAAATGGAACCATATTTTTCTGAATTTTATTTAAAATTCAAGATGTTTTATTTCCTATGCCTTTGTGATCCTCATTAGTATCACTTTATTAGAAAGTTCAGGGACTATGGTGGAATTTAAGAAAATAAATTTAAGATAAAGTGCTTAACATCCTAGTTTTTCCATTATGGTGGTAAATTGCTGATATTAATTTTATTCAAATTAATAGCTACATTACTGATAGTCTTTCTCTTTTTTTTTTTTAAATCTTCATGCTCAACACTATTCTGACCTTGTTTTTAGGAATGATGCAAGAATATGTATCAAGAGTTCAGCTAAACTTGTTGGCATGCCATTTGTTAATTATGAAACTATAAAAAAGAAACACATTTTTAAGGATCAAGCGAAACCCTCTCTCAATTCTAGAATAGTACTCCTAAGAGGAAATTCTGCTAATGAGAAATTTATATATAACTTTGTAGAAATGGATGTTTTTAAGTTCTGAAATTGAGTAGCATACAATTACCTCTGATGTCTAGGATGATATTTTACTATGGTATTTCTTTGCTTCTCATTCTAATAAAATATTAACTCAGCTAATTTTTTTTTATCCTGTCAGAAACAAGTTGTTCAAGCATAAGACTTTTCCCCTTCATTTGATAACATGTCATTAACTTGCTAGAACTAATCTAAAATTATGCCCTTTTCTTTCTCCTTTTCATCTCTGTTCTTGCTTTCTGGTTACTCATTCTAGCAATACAAGACCAAGTCAAGCTACAAGGCTTTTGCAGCTATCCCTACAAACACATTGCTTTTGGAACAGAAGGTCAGTGCTGGCACGAAAGCATAGTGAACTTTATGCTTATAATTATTTTTTCCCCTGTGTTTATAAAGTTTCTGCTGGATATATGTCTATTTTAAAGGTCTGTCTTTACTAAAATAAAATTTTATTCTTAATTTAGAAAGATGTGATGAAAGCATCTTGGTCAATAGAATCAGTGATATATTTCTTTTTCGGAGACTGAACGTGAAACTTGAAATGTCTAGGCCAATGTTAAGCAGCCCTAAGAAGTATAGCTCAGAGTCACATAGATTCTCATTTTTGAAATTTTTGTGGGGTAAGGATGTGCCTTTGTGCTTCAGAACAGATTTATAGCAAATCTTCATAAATATTTGGAAACCTTATAGAACAGCTGTACTCCGTCCTATAGGATTGCTTTGAGTCAGATTATACTCGCTGGCAATGGATTTGTTTGTTTTGCTACATTGATAGTATCAAGAGTGTTTGCTTTTACTCTGACCAAAAAGTTGAGATGAAACACTGGAGATGTTGATCAGTTTGTCATTGGCTAGTCAAGACTGGACAATTAATAGTTCTGCCCAGTAGGAGCACTTAAGCAGAATATTAAGTTTAGCTCCTTTGATCTATCTAGAAGTATATTTTTTCAGTCATTCTTGCCAGGCAAGAAAGTCATCCCACTTATTTTGGGGGGGGGGTAGATTAGAGATCACTCTCAATGACCCAGCTGCTTTCACAACGTTTTGGCTTTGCTGTTAAGTGTCAATTATAAATTTATAGGATGTACATCACTAGGTAAATTAAATGAAAGGTTTTTGTTTAATAATATCACATGAACTTAAATATAGCTCAAATGGAAGCTCTAGACTGAAGCAAAATAATTTACCAAAAGTGAGAAGATAATATATTATTTTTTATTACATTTTATTAATTTTAATGAACATTTGCAGAGATTTTGGATTCATTCATTCATTGTTGCACTGTTTTCTCTACCCTTCCCCCTAGTTTGTTCCTCTTTCCCCCCCCCTTGAATGCCTGTTTAAATTGTCCCATTGCCACAGTGCTTTTCAAAGCCAGTTCTAATTAATCTCCTTTCTCACTGCGTCCTTTGCCATTCCCTATCACTCCTCCCTGAGAGAGACTTCACCCTGATTCATAAGGAAAAGGGGATGGTATATTCTCTTAGCTACTTCCTGCTGAAAAGGGACGCTCTAGGTTTCAGGGTGAAGATCTTTCACTACTCTAAAGGGCCCCTTTGGCAATAGGAAACATGTAGACTATTGTGGAGATTGATTTTGAAAGTTAAATGCACTGTTATCAATTGTTCTTAGCCATACATGTTCATGTCTTTGAAGATGTATCATGGAACTGTAGTAGCCTAGAAGACACAAATTTAACTAACATGTAAAAAGTACATGAGTCAAAAATTAAAAAGCAATAATAGTCTTAGTAGAGGTTCTAATAGTGGCACAAATCAAGTTACAGAAGGAAGGTAGTTCTTAAAATAAAAGGCCTATTGACTAGCACTTTGTCTATTATAGTATAAAGGTTAGGAACCACAAGATGTAGAGGCTCAACTATGTAATTTATTGTTCTTAAGTCCTGGAGCAAATTCCATCTACCACTGGGTTGTTTTACAGCTCAGAAGTCTGCATGCAAGACAGAGGTGAAGTAAGGAACTACTTAGGAGGTTTTCCGTCAATTCCAATAAGTAAGAAATAGTGAGAAGAGTTGGGACCTCAGAAGGCTTTTAGGACCAAATAGTAGGCTCTTGTGTCCAGGAGAAAATGAATATACTTACCAGTAATGTTAAGGCTCACCCACAGCTCTTCTGGGAGGATCTAAATCATTGAAGTGTCCTCCTTTGTTTCCAGCTGGGAGCTGGGGCCTGTCAGTCCTTTCAGTCACAAGGACCTGATGTGGGCCACCCTTGCCCAAGTGTCCTTCAGATCCACACTTAAAGCAAATGAGTGGGAGCTTTCCCTCTACTCCCTTGCCTATCTGTGGCTCTTGTCTGTGATACTGTCTACTGAAATGGCCCACCTTTCCACAGTGGAAGCAATTCTGACCTCCTTCATTACCTTTGGGTGGCACTGTTTATGAGTAAGACTTCCTTTTCCTGACACAGGCCCTAAACTGGCAGCAATAGTTGCCCCAATAATTTTGGCCATTCTCTGGTCTTTTCTCTTCCCTCTAGATCCCAGTTGTTAAAAGAGGAAAAATTTAAACAAATATATAACAAATAGTTTTGAACATTGTAATCTTTTAAGCTTAAGGCTAGAAATATTAACAATATGATCATTTCCAATCCAGAGATACATGTTCCAATGCAGTTCCTATTTTCCATAAATGGTTTTGGTAAGAATAATATTGTAAATGTAGATACAGTTCCACTATTCCTCCTCCATGCCACGATATCGTGTTATTAGCATGAGCAGTTATAAATCCATTGCCATCCTTACTCTAACTTAATTTTTTATTTTACATTTAAATTTATTATTAATTTCAGTAAAAATTTAGAGGCTTTGGAATTCCATTCATTCATTGTTGCACATTTCTCCCCTCCCAAGCCTTCCCCCAGAACACTACCCTCTTGGAAAAGTAAAATTCTTTCATTGTTTTACAAAACCTCCCCTAGGTCCACTACACCGTGTAGCCATCGCTGTAGACTCCTGTCATGACAGAAATACCTAATCACCCATCTCTTTTAAACAGTTTCCTTCCTCTGTTTTAATACAATATGCATTACTGAACCCATCTTACTCAATCTCTCCCCAACCCCAAAGTCAGTCCTCTTTTACAACAGTTGCACCATGCAATATTTGTCCTTTTGTGACTGGGATATTTCCAGAGTCAACCATTTTGAATAATATTGCTTGAGTTCCTTGTTTTTCAGTATTCCATTGTGTGAATATACCACAGCTTCTCTATCCATTTGTTAGGCAATCTATTTCAGTACACAGAGCCATTTTTTTTCTGTGTAAATATAGTGAATACTGTTACTATCATTTGTCAGAATAATATTTGCCAACCCAGTGTTATTTTGATCCTGGTTTATGAATGTGCATTCTTGTTCTTTTAGCATGATCGAGGGGAATACTTTTTTTCATAGTCTCTTATCTGCCAGGGAGAAACTGTTTATAGAAAATTCTAAATGAGATATAGGTGGGCAGATATCTTACAACATATAATTCCTACAACTAACTATCAGATCTCTGTTCTGTCTGCAATCTGAATGCCCCAGAGACCCCTGGATTATGGGGAAATGGGAAGCTTTTTCTGTCTTGCTTTTCTCCTAAAGTTCTACCTTTTGTAACTTCAGAAGAGCAGACATGCCTAAACCATTCTTTCAGGAAGTTTCTGGAGGTTGTGAGAAATGACTTTGTCTTTCAATTGCTCTATGTTTTAATGTCTTCTGCCTGCTGTTGTTGTGTGCTGTCAAGTTAGAACCTAATTGTATGAGAGGAGTTTGCCCATCTTTCTCTAGTGGAGCAGTTGGTGAATTCGAACTACAAAGCTTTGTAATTTCAGTGCAATTGGTTGAATTCGAACTACATACCTTTGTAATTGCAGTGCACTTTGTTATCACTGGTTGACCAGAGCTCCCTGTCCTACTGTCTAGGGTCATCATAGTCATAGTATGGGTATTCCCACACAACAGAGTTTGTGCTCATTCCAGACAGATGGTTCAGAATCTTTTTTTTTTTTTTACAGTTTTTTAAGTCTTCCCTCCACCTGTTATACTGGTTTGTTTGCAAAGTTCAAGTACATTGTTTTTCACACCAGATTTTTCCCATTTCCTTCACCACCCTCACCCATCAAATTGTGAGATCCTATGATTAACCTCCCTACCCTGCCCATCCTCCTCCCTCTGTTCCTCCCTTCCCCACCTTGTATCATCATAGTCATTCTAAGACAATGGTTTTATGCAGTATTTTTCCTTATGGCACTGAATTAGTTCACTTGGCATAATGCTCTCCAGTTCTTCCTAAGTTAAGTAGTAAGTTACAAAATCATTGCTTCTGCAATGCTGAGCAATATTCCATTGTGTGAATGTACTACAGTTTTTCAATCCATTCGGTAGTGGTTGGACATCTGGGCTGTTTCCATGTTCTTTTGATGGTGAATAATGCTTCTATGATCACTGGCGTACAACTCTCCTTCTGTGCCTCAGTTATAATTTTTTGGGGCATATTCTAAGCAGAGGAATAGCTGGTCATATGGAAAGTCTATGTTCAGCTTTTTGAGGAAACACTAAACTACCTTCCAGAGTGGTTGTACCATTTTATAATTCCAC